GATGACACATATAGTAACTTGTAAGGTAAAAATATGAAGAAAAAAATTACGATACAACTTCTTTATTTTACAGCTTAGATAAATCCGGCGAGAATGCTGCAAATTTAAATACTGTCCGCCCACGCATGCTGCATGTGATACGTAAAGGTGCGTTATCGGCTTTGGAACGCGGGCCACGCGTTGGTGGCCAAGTGGTTGAAACACAGATACGCTTACATAACATAACAATAGGACGTGGTACGGCTGATTCCTTTGTAATGGCTGCAGCGGCGCAATGTGTACAAAAGGTAAGATTTGTATAGCATAAAACATGCACCAAAGATTTTTTTTTTTTTTTGTTGCATTCAGATATTAACCTCAGCTGGCACGCGCTTGCTTGAACCAATTATGGCTCTGGAAATAGTTGCGCCAACGGAACGGATATCTGCAATAATGGCTGATTTGACACGTCGTCGCGCCACAATAAATGACGTGCGGCCGAAAAGTGAACAAAATAAGGTGAGAGTAAGAGCTGGAGGGTTCTAGTTTTTCGAAACAAAAAAATGTTTTTTTCCAATATTCCATTAGTTTTTGTCTGAAAGTACATTACGACTACAATACTTAACGACAGTCGGGTCTACGTAACCGGAACGACCCAGATTTATATCTGGCCAAGGACTGTCACTCCAGCAACACTCCCCAAAAAGTCTTTGGGGAATTTGTATGCTGCTACAACAACAACAACAACAACAATACTTAAAACTGCATTGATATATTAAAAAAAACATGCTGCGAAAATAACGTAAGCGACATTTTTTTGTTTTTCAAAAATTACTTTGCGATGCAGAAATGCTTTAAAGGGCTCTAAGAGCATAAAAAAAGTAAATTAAAAAAAAAATTTCGCTAACGTTATTTTCACACACAGGGCTCGTTATTATCGCTTTTGGCTTTAGTATTATCTAGTAAAAAAAGCATCCATTAACTTGCCAGTAACCAAATTTCTGACAGCATTTCCTCTCAGTAGGAGAAACATTCAAGAAAGTACGAAAACGCTTAACCGGCAAGAAGTTGTCATTTTTATGAACAGCTGATTAATTTGTTATTTTCCAAAGTAATTTTCTAATAAAAAATAGCATAATGCCATCAGCTGTTTTTTTTACTGGTAA